AAGCGTGCTACCCTTATGTTTCAACCGAGTTTTTCCTTTAACAAATTTTGTGTCTACCAAATTGGGTTGGTTGGGGTGTAATACTAATAATAAGTGTTGCCTTTAATTTAATCAATAAAATAAATTGACTTCATTAATTTTTTTGAACCACCTCTTAAGAAAATCTAAAAAATATGAATGGAATGATAAATCACAAGTACAAACTCATCATATTTTTTGCATTTTAGATAGGATTTATTCAGCAAAATTTAAGGGTGACGTCATCAATTTTTTTAGGAGGGATGAACAAATACATTTTGAACAAAAGTTTACCATGCTTATAATAACTTTAAAATATTCCCAAGATTTCAAAGCATTCGGTTTTGTAATTCCTGATTAAATCGATAAAATAAATTCACGCCTTCATTAATTTTTTTGAGTCACCCTGCATATGCAAATCCAAAAATATGAATGGAATGATAAATCACAAGTACAGACTCATCATATTTTGTACATTTTAGATACGATTTATTCGGCAAAATTTTGAGCTGACGTCATCAGTTTTTTGTAGAAGATAACGAAATATATTTTGACTAAAAATTTATTATGCTCTTTATAACCTTAAAACATCTGCAAGATTTCAAAGCATTCGGTTTTGTAGTTCCTGATTAAATCAATAAAATAAATTTACGCATTCATTAATTTTTTTGAGTCACCCTGTATATGCAAATCGAAAAAATTTGAATGGAATGATAAATCACAAGTACAGACTCATCATATTTTGTACATTTAAGATATGATTTATTCCACAAACTTTTGAGCTGACGTCATCAATTTTTTGGAGGGGATAAGCAAATATATTTTGACTAAAGATTTATGATGCTCTTTATAGCCTTAAAACATCTGCAACATTTCAAAGCATTCTGGTTAGCAGATTAAAAATTAAATTTCAAAATGTTGTTTTATAATTTTGATTTTTTTTCCAAAAATCTGGACGTTTCGGGTGAAAAGTCGATTTGGAGTTGTAAACTACATGTGTAGGACTATGTTATTTTATACAATTCAAAACCCATTTACTATGTACAATTTTGAAGTGACGTCATCGCATTAGTGGTGGGGATGATTAGACAAATTTTGGTTAGCGTTTTACCATCTACATGATATTCTTAATATAAGTACAAAATTTCACAACAATCGGTCGAGTACTTTCGGAGATTATCTGTCTAATAAAAATCCGGGACGGCAGACGGACAGACGGACAGACGGACAGACGGACAGACGGACGGACAGACGGACGGACAGACGGACAGACAGACGGAAATGGGAGACCTATTTCTTCGTCTTCTAGGGGTCATGAAAGATCGAGAAAACGTAAAAGTAGAGAGTCGGCCGACGGACTCGATTACAATACTTCCTTTGCTTACGCTCGGGAAGTAAAAAGTCGTACATTTTTAATGTTATTTATTTTCAACTATGTTTATCTATTTTTTATAAAAGAAACAAGAAAAAATTGGTCTAAAATTATTTACATAGAACTTCCCTCGTCCCTGACGTACAGTGTAATAAAATTGGATTTTCGGAAATTTTATTTTATATTCCGTATAAGTTAAAAATTTACAGATAATACCTATCGAACAAACGATCTTAGTGTTGTTAACAGGACACCCTAACCCCTAACCCATACGCTTCGCTTCTCATAAAACTTTATTATTCATTTTGGAATGTTTTGCGAAAATGTGGACTAAGGGAAAATTTAGAGGCGGATTCATAAAGCACAAGTACAGGAGTATATTATTTTATAAAATTTAAACGGAATTTTTGATAAAAGATTTGAGGTGACTTCTTCACAGTGTAGGTAGGGATGATTGGACAAATTTTGGTTAGAGTTTTACCATTTCCACGATATTCCTAAAATACATGTACAAGTTGATAACAATCGGTCTAGTAGTTTCGGAGATTATTGATACGTGTATAAGTGAAAAAAATTTTTGGGACTCTCGTGTTTTTTTAATATGAAAAACAATTTGCGGCTCCTAACGCGTTGTTTTTGAAAGAATTTGAAAGAATCTCCGAGACCTTTAGCATATGAATGAGTGTGAAATATTCTTCTGGGTTTATTTATTTTTTTGTAAAAAATGTGAAATAATCTTTAGGCACCATTGTATGTTTGAAAGGATGTGAAAATGTTTTCAAAGTCCCTTTGTCACTTTTTTACAGAATGTGAACGAATCTTGGGGATGCTTTTTTTTCTTAAGAATTGAATGAATCTGTGGGGTACATTGTGTTTTTTTTTTAATGTGTGAGGTAAATCATCTGGATTTCTTGGGTCTTTTATTATAACTAGGATTATTAATCCACCTTATTTTACGGATAGTGGTTTTTGAAAAAAAAAAGAATAAAACTGTTATAAGAAAATTTTACAGTTTTTCTTTGAAATTAAAAACACAATTACTTTGAATTCTTCTACATACTTTTAGGTTATCGTAATCACGGTAAACCAATAATTAGAATGACTGTATATAACAATTTTGTAAACCTCTTGCCTCTTGCAAATTGTGCAATTTATATTGCGAATATTACAGAATTTAAAACATAAACACCAATGAAAACATAAGGAGAGGGAAAGTTCTCCACAAAATAAAAACATAAAAAGTCTAATAAATTAAATGATACCGAACCAATTACCACGATGATCGATGAAACTAAAAAAGCTTTAATAAATAATTAACTGTCTAGTTGTAACACAACACTGAAATATTTACAGTACAGTGCACAACACCTGTATTGATTTTTAAAAGAAATCAAATACATCATGACCGACTTCTCAAGCATTTCTCCGCTCCTAAAACTCAACTATCATGTTCTGCGTTGTTTTGGTTTCCTCGACTTTCATCTGGAAGACATTGTCGAACCTCGTTCTTCGTTTCGTCTCAACCTAGCAATAGAAATACTTCACGTTTTACTCATAATTTTGCCATCGATTTACTTGTTTAAACATTTTCCGCAATTTTTTGCAGCTTCTTTGATCACAAAATTACTTAGCTTCTTCAGAGGATTTTTTCTAATTTTGACAGGATGTAGCAACATCATTTGGAGCAAAGTGTATCGCAAAAAAATCTACAACGTATTTAAAACTGTAGCAACTTTAGAAAAAAATATCCAAGATTTGCAAATAACATTAGATTATGGAAATTCAGTAAGTTTGGCTTGTGCACTTATGGCAGGCGAAATTCTATTGTTATTGTTTTGTGGTATATTGCATCTGATTTATACTACCTCAACAAAATTTACTCTTTTCCAAGTGTCGGTAACTTTCACAATGTATTTCGTTATGATGACCATAGAGCTAACATTGCCATGTCAATTTCTAACTGTCTACAATAGCGTTGGTGTAATGTTTTCGGCTATTAATTCAAAGCTGAAAGAAAAGTGCTTATCACCTGATGATTTTCGGAAATGTATGGTTGTTTATTCGAAAATTTGCAACCTGTTAGAAGAATGTAACCACTTAAACACAATTTTAATTTTAATATCGATTTCTACACGATTCGTAACCACGACTCTAAACTTATATGGACTCATTATTAATGCTTTTATGAATGGAAAACAGACAATTTTTCCTGTATTTGCTGGCATAGTTTTGTTTTGTTATAAATTAGGAATTCTGATTTTCGTCGCGGAGAAAATAAAATCTTCGGTAGGTTTGTTTTAGTGAATTTAACGTCAAGAATAATTTTTCTTTTTTCAGGTTATTAAAACGCGGAATACATTGAATAGACTAACAATTGAGAAGAAAGAACAAATGTTTCGGAACGAGGTAACTCCCAGAGCTTTTTGTTTTTTCACACAGAGTAACACATTTTAGGTTAGTATTTTTCTGGTAAAGTCGCTACATTATGAAGTTAGAATTTCCGCAGGTGGAATTTTCGACTTGAACTATAATTTGGCACTAAGGGTACACGAACCTTTCTAGAAATTTAAATTTAATTAAGTACTTGATCACTATTTTTATTTTCAGATTTTTCTTTCTGTGACAACATATTTAGTCATCTTAATTCAAACCGATCCTAACGCTTCAAGAATAGTGTCTGAGAAGCTTTTTGGTTCTAAGTGATTTTAAATTCAGTCTACTAATTTTTATTAACATATTGAAAGAACACAAATAAGTTCAAACATTTTATTTTGCTTCTATGTTTTAAATCTAGAGGATTTTCAACTTTTCAACTACCAAGAAAGAAAAATTTAACTTGAGTAATATTTTCACAATACTTGCAAAGCTTGCATCTCAAAAGTTGGAAATTCGTTGAAATTGTTGAGATGCAAATACACAAAAATAAATTTTCTACACATTAAATATTATTAAAGTAACATTTTTGTGTTTTTTCATCACTCTTCCCAAAAGGATTACATTTATTTTTAGTTTCCGAAGATCTGTGACTCAAGTTTCATTCTTTTTTTAAATAAATCCCGGAGTCGACAGCTGAATTTTTGTTATCTTGGTAGTGATATTCATTAGTAATAGTTACTTAAAGTACTTTTAAAAGCTTTGAAATAATGTATATATACTTAGTTTGAAATACAAAAAATTTACGAAAACTGCGTGTAATACTATAATTTAGCAATTACTAAAATATATTGAAAACTAAAACAAAAACTTTCATCAAATGTGAAGAGAATGGCTTGAGAAATTTAAGAAGTGCTATTACAAAATTCAAAAGTGCTTTGTACTGTTGTTTAGAATGAATATTTATGAATATTGTTCAAATTGAAAGAAAAATGAGTTCCACAAGTACTCACTTTTGGAGCCTAAAAAACACTACCATCAGTAGAAAATTGTCGATTTAAAAATAATTTTAAATAAAAATCAATGAGGTCTTCACGATATGACTTTCCATGTTCACACCTCGCACGTTCTTGCAGTTCTAATTCTTGACAACAGATTTGTTGCATGGACCCCACTCTTCTTGTTTCATATAGGGAACTCTTTCAGGGAATAATCATTTTACAACCAATCACAGCTTTTCGTTGGTGTTCATATTTAAAGGCGACTGGGAGACATAAAAAGTACTTCGAAAATTTCACTTCGCGAACGCATCATCAGTGAAAGTATAATTTTTTTGGTAAGTACTCGTAATTATTTTAGATTTTATTTGAATAATAATTATTATTAATTTAAAATTGGTGAAAATTGTTTGACTTAATTTGTCAAAATTTTTACATTTTAGAAATTTTTGGACACTATTTATTCAGAAATTTATTTTCATTGAACTCATATATTGATGCACAAGAACACAAGTAATAATTAATATATAACAATGAACGAAACCTGTTTCAAAATTTTGAACAAGTTTTCTCTTTTGAAACTATTTTTGAAAAATACGCACACCAGTTCAAGTTTAAAACTCTTAGCCCCAAAGATGAGGACTGTAGCCGAATATTTTTTTTTCCAAAAACAATTTTAAACTTAATGTGCACTTTGTTATTTTCCACTGTTAAAAAAAATCTCTTGAGGAATGTTTCAACGCACACGTAACAAAGAAATATTTTTTAGAAATTGTATGGCTTGCTTTAGTAGAATAAAATTTAGATTGTTAGAATCAGTGGTATCTTGTTATATCGCCCTTTAAAAACGAAGACAAAATTTTCAATAGTTTCTGAAGCATCACAGTTGCGAAATGTTATTCAAGAACAACTGGTGAGAGGTGGAATGATAGTGACTTTATAAAAGATTTTGCAGATTCTTGTATCAACTTCTTATAAAAATTCGCAGGGTTTTGGTATCTGACAACATTCGAATTCTCTCATACCTAAACGCTAATTACAAATGTATTAAGAATTTTTATTAAGGAAACGACAATTCGTCACATTTCTTGGACAAACAAGGCATATTCATATAAAAAAATATGTTTCTTGCAACGAGTTTTCAGTAACAGTTTTAGTAATACCCGTTATCTGATTCAGAAATTTTCGTTTCCGAGAAGTAAGAATAATTCTAGAAAAGACTGTCTTAACATCTTTTTTGTTTTATTTGCAGACGTTTCTTCTAAAGCACCAGCACATACATTAGAAAAATGAGCGACAACGACATGCCAGGAGACGCTAGGGAGTGCTTAAATGATGAAAAGAAAAGAAAAATATTTCGAGAGTGGTTACAAAAACATATTAACAATGTTGATGAATATCCTAAAAAAGCAGGACAAAAATCAGAACAGCTCAGAATAGCTTATGGGCTTGAACCTATCTATCAATGTTTTTATAAAAACAGAAACAACGAATGAACAAGTTAGAATGAGATAACTATGTTTAAAAAAAAGCATTAATTCATTCCTGGTTTTTTATTGCATCCTACTATCCTCTTTTAAGAAGTTCTGGAATTTTTCAAAAAACATTGTCTTCAGCTTAACACAATCTTTGAAAAATTAAAGACATAGATTTTGGGAAGTTTTATTTTACCAAGTTGCATTTGAGCAACATTGGATTTTTGGTGGTTTTATAAAAAAATATATTTTAATTTTGCACTATCCCTAATAGGATTAAATATACTCTTATCAATTAAAATATCTATAGATAATAAAAAAAAACACTGATATTGACACCGCTGGATGATAATTCTGTGATTATTTGAACTTCATTTATTCTCACTACGTGTTGTAGGAGTTTTCTACACCAGTGTGTTTAATGATGTCAAATATGAAGTGAAAGAACACGACAAGTTTTCAATAAATTCAATTACAAGTTTAGATGTGTCTTTTGAGGTAACTTATAAGTGATTAATTAATGTCATATTAATCACATTAATATATATTTAATTTAGTACTTCTTTTAAAGTAAAATTTTTAATTTATTAACATTTTATATCTTATAGATTAGCACATTCACTGACTGAGTGAAAGTGATTAAAGAAATCAACAATGAAAACAAGAACGCCTTTAGACAAAGCTTGCTACTTCGGTGATTTAAAAACTCTAGAAGAGTTGCTAGAAAATTTGAAGGATTCACAATACTCACCGGAAGAACTGTGTTCATCACTTTGTACTGCAATCAAACGTTTAAATGACGAAGATAAAGAAGAAAACAATGAAAAATGCTGTGAATTAATGTTAAAAACTATCAAAAGCAAGAAAGATTTCGATACAGAACAATATAGAGACAGCTACGGAAATACCCCTCTTTTCTACGCTATATATCACAACAATCCAGAGATTGTTATGGAGTTATTAAGCACACTATGTTTAATCAATTCGAACAATGGTCCAAGTCCTATTGATAAAGTCGACCCAGAGATGTTAAGAAGACACTTCGATCGGTGCATAACTGAAACCATAAAGGGAGTTAAAGGTCCGGGAATTAAGATAACTTTTAACTTTGAACCACTTCTTTGTCGAGAAAAACACAAAGAAAATCCTCACGTTGATTCAAAAGTTGTATATGAAATAAGCCGTAGAAAAAATATCGAAAATTTGCTCTTGCATCCCATGATTTTATGTTTCGTAGCAATGAAGTGGGGCAATAGCAAAATGTATGATGTAATTTTTTGGAGCCGTTTTTTTCTTTGCTTTTTGAATATAGCGTTGCTTTCCGCTTACGTTATGACTAATATACACCCTTTCAAATATTTGTGTTTAGGTACACAGTTGTTTTACGTTTTGTATGTGGTTTTTGAAGACATATTGCAGCTTAAATTTGACCATCCCGAAAAATGGCATTTATTACTAGGAAAAGTAATATTGTCTCCAAATGTGTTGTTGTCTCTTGCTAGTTTCATACTTTTACCGATTTTTATCTTCCTTGGTGAGGACTGGACAGAATTCACGTTGCCTTTTATTGTTACTTTTTTGTGTTTTGAAATGATTTTAGTTTGCAGTATCCGATACATTTATGGTGAAATGTTCAAAGTAGTGCTTTTTGTTCTTGGGAGACTACTAGTTTGGTACATTCTCATATTGTTTATACCTTTGACAATTCTTTACAACGTATTATTCGATAATGCATTTTACAAAAAATTACCGAAATCAATTTTTGACGTCTTTACTCTTCTAATTGGGAATGTAAATCTGGGCGAAAATTCGACACCAATACAAAAATTTTTTTACTTGGCATTTATTATTGTACTGCCTCTGACAGTGTCTAATTTAATAACCAGCAATGCTATTAATGATGTTAAAGAATTAAAAAATAAAGCGGATATTGTTAGTCTAAGAGCAAAAATTTTGTTTATTTATAGGGTTGATATCGTTATTAGGAATATAAAAAAGAAAAATTGTGAATCCATTCCACATGTAGTGAAGGGTCATATTAATTTTGTTGAACGACATGCAAACACACAAACATTTAACAAAAAACTGGTCGAAAATTTAAGCTTATTATTCCAAAGAACACAGAAAAAAATTGTTGTTTCATCCGGGTTTTTTTACAAACCAGACGAAAACAAATCGTCCAATGATAGTACAAGTATAACAAAAAATTGTTAAAACTAGGTGCAAAAATAACGTAAAAGCTCGTCGTTTGAAATAAAAACGAAACACGCATTTTTGTGTACATGTTGATTTATATAATATGCTTTAACCCATCCGACTTAGTTCTTCGGGTGGACAAATTAAGCTCATGTAAGTAATCGTCTGTCTTCTGGTGTCAGTTATTCGATGGCCACTTCACTCGAAACTAAAAGGATGGTAATAAAACATAATTTAAATGTAGATATAGTCTCAATCTGTATTTATATTGTAATAATCTAGTACTTAATATAAATAATAATAATATTAATTTCTTGTTTTTTTTTTGCACACAGAACAACGCATTTTAGATTCATATATTTCTGGTAAACTCACTACATTACACAGGTGGAAATTTCGACTGAGTCTAAACGGTGTCAGATTTTAACAGGACACAAGGAAATTTGCCGTCTACTTTTTTTTATACAATTATTTTACATTTTTCACATATGCAGGATGATACAATTAGAAATGCAATAAATGTTCCTAAAAATATAACAGACACACAAAAAATGATATATAAATATTAAATAAGAGCATATTTTTACCTTCAGAGCGTAAACTCAGTACGACACAATAGGTCACCCGTTTCCCGCTGCCTGTCTGTCTGTCTACCGTCTGTCCGGTATTAGACAGATAATCTCCGAAACTACTGAACCAGTTGTTAAATTTTATATGCGTACTACGAATATGGGGTAGATGATCAAAATTTCGCTAATCCTTACCTACAATTTGTTGACGTATTCCAAAAGCATTGTTTATTATTCCAAATACAATTTTCATCTGAATGACTCGGGTTTAAGGGTTGGATTAAACGGACATTTTAGATGAAATTTTTATACTGAAATCAGTAAAAAGTATCTTTCATCTATGTATTTAAGCTTTTTTTACCTGGTTTTCATCTATTTTAAGGTACTTTATCATGTTTTTAATAAACTGGCCAATTTTAGCGTTAAAGTTTTTTATTGCCTTTTTATAAAATAAAAAAAGTAAATTTTTGTAGTGAAGTTTTTTTATGCATTTTTTAAACATTTTACCACATGTTTAAGGTTATCTTGTAAAAAGTTGTGGATTTCTAAAGATTTTGACCACGATTCCAACAGATCCACATAGAAACCACTGACTTCGAGATGTACAAAAAATAAATTTAAAAAAAACACTCAACTTCAAAATTGGCCTGTTAAAATGATAAAACACCTTATAATAAATTAAAAAACAAAATGTGGGGTGAAATGTATCATTTTACTTGCTACTAATTTGTCCCTTTTTTTTTGGTGTTATATATTTAATCTTATAGGATTGCATACTCCAGCATGTGTGATTTATGCATTCGTGTAGAGTTTTCACCCTAGACATCAAGATTTTTGGGGAAAAGTCAAAATTATGTAACATTTTACAATTTAATTTTGAAATTGTAAAACCGAATCCTTTAAGAACCTACAAGTTTTTTAACATTATCGTAAACTTGGTAAATCGTTAATCAAATTTTTTTTGTTTATGGCTCCCTAAAAAATGATGACGTCATTTTATAATTTTATAGAACAAATGTTTCTTAAATTTTATACAACTACATACTCTTGATTGGGGAACATGAGATGCGTCAAAAAGTACATACTGTCACGGCCAGAAAATCTTGGACGTCAGTCAGTGTCGTTTCACCGTCACAAAACATCTTTAAATATTTTAACCTTATTTTTTTAGTTTTGACATTTTTGACAATGCGACGTGACACATCTTTTAAACTTTAAAACTGACACTATATCAAAATTTTCTAGCCCCGACTGTAGACAAAAATTTTCTTCTTGAAAGCAAAAAAATTGTCAATTTCGTATTTAATTAAAGAAAAAACAAAAAAAGGAAAAAAACAAGGAAAAAGGTGCTAAATGGTCACCGAAAATAAAACGTGACAAAAGAAGGCTACAAAAGAAATCGATAAAAAGCGAAAAAAAGTGCAAAAAAAGGCAAAAAAGCGGCACAGGAGAGAGAAAAAGAGTATGAAAAAAAGCGACCAAAGAAAGAGGGGAAAGACAAAAATTGGAGACAAAAAAGGAACAAAAGAAGTGACAAAAAAGAGATATAAAGAACCACACAGAAAAAGTAGACATAAGTAATAATAATAATAATAATAATAAGAAAAAGAAGATGATGAAAAAATGCGACAAAAAAGTAGCGGGGGAGGGGAACGCACAAGAACGACAAGAAAAGGCGACAAAAAAAAGCGGAAAACTGCCACAAAAAAGTAAATGTGACAAAAAGTTTACTAAAAAATTGGTCTAAAAAGTTTAGACAGTACTTCCCTCGCTTTCAGAACCGTGTCTTTATGTCTATCATAGATTCTTCTCATTAGAGTTCTGTGACGGAATATTTCAATAAATTCGCTTTCACTCTGGAAATCACGGCTCGTTCGTAATTTGATCAATAATAACTTGACTGATTCATTAATTTTTTTGAGTCACCCTGTATAAGCAGATCTAAAAAATATGAATGCAATGATAAATTACAAGTTTAGTCTGATCATATTTTGCACATTTTCGAAAGGATTTATTCGGCAAAATTTTGGGGTTGATAAACACATACATTTTGATTAAAATGTTTCCATGCTTACAATAACTTCAAAACGTGTACAAGATTTAAAAGTATTCAGTTTTGCAATTCTTGATTTAATCAATAAAACAAATTGACTCAGTCATTATTTTTTTGAGACACCCTGCATATGCAAATCCAAAAAATTTGAATGGAATCACAAGTATTGTCTTATCATATTTTGTGCATTTTAGACAGGATTTATTCAGCAAAATTTTGAGGTGACGTTATATTATATAGTATTGAAAATCAGATTTCTTCTATATATAGACAATATCATCCCATACATTTTACCCATATGGTAAATAAAAAATTATCTACGTAGTTAACTGAATAATTACCCTTTTTGTTTTATTGTTACCATTACCTCTGTAAATTACAATTTTTGACAAATTAGTAACATCCAAAACCGCGTTTTTTATGCGATTTGTCGCGATAACAAATGAAGGTCAACTGTAGGCAAACAGCGCTATCTAGCAGCGATAGTTCAAAGTTTGAAGAATTCGTTGTTGCTACCTGCTTATCTGACACAGCTACCGATCGTGCTAGAGTGGTACTACCAACTATATGACTTTTAATCGTTGCATAGAAGTCACTACGTTGCCAATTCTTGAAAAATCTCACTATTTAGTGACCCAGAAATCCCAGAATGGAACTATTTGTCTTTCTAACTTAGAATTCTACTGAAACCGCGAGTTTTTAATGTGTTATAATTACCAGTTTATTAAAGAATTATTTTATGAAATTCTTAGTCAAATTATATAAATGTTGGATGAACCAGAAATGTTAGTTAAAAATGTAAATTCTTCCCAAATGGGCTGAAAATATTTTTACTTCAATATGATGTTAGAGGAAAACAGAGCTTGAAAGTGGAGCCAGTTCTAGCAGATTGTGGTCTCGATGAGGCTTTTAATCAGAGCGCTGAGATCGAATGTGTGAACAAGGTAGTTTCGGTGTTGTATGAATTCTTGTAGTGCTGTCTGATTTCAGTGTTTTTTTCTTGTCCAAAGAAATATTTTGTTATTATTTAAGGCTGCCTACTACACAAAAGGTTCTTAAAGCCAAAATAGTGTTTCTATTAATTATATATCGATGTCGTCATAATTTTGAAATTGATAGTCAAACATTTCACATTAATTTTTAAAATTAAAAAAAAACATAGCCTTAATTTCAGGTTATTTTCCATTTTTTTATTACCGACGTACCTACTTAATGAACCTCTATCACAAATTTGTTGAAAGACCACTTCATAATAATAATAATAATAATAATAATTAGCAAGTTTAAATTATAACAAATAAGGAAAAAACAAAAAGAACATAGATATGAAAATGAGATTTTTAACCAAATCTAAATTTGATTTCTTGCAAACTACAGCAAAATATATCCAAATCAGCTTCAATATCACAATAGTTACGAAGCATCTGGTACAAGGGTGATGAAGCAAGCATGTTAGTTTTAGCCCTAGGTAAGTAAAGTACAGTGGTGTAACGACTATTAACACGCGGTATTCGATAGGATATCTGTTCTACTATGTACTTACAGTCAATAAAATTGTGTATGAGTTTGTACAAAAATACCGTTAAATGCAAGGATCTTCTTTTTGCAAGGCTCTGAATGCCAAATCTATTTAATAATAAGTCTTGTGGAAAATTACGAACGGGATAGGAGCCGTCAAGAATGAATGTAACAAACTTCAGAAATCTTCTCTGAATTCTTTCCAGATTGGAACTGTGGATGTTATAAAAGGGCGACCATATGACAGATGCGTATTCTAGTTTACTACGAACAAATGCAAAGTAAATTATATTAATTGAAGATACTTTAGTGAAATCTTTGGTGTTACGTACAATAAAACCTAAGCACTTGTAAGCTGAGTTTATAATTTTAGCGATGTGATGTACAAATGACAATTTGCTATCAAAAGATACACCTAAGTCACTGACAACATCCGGTCTCTCTAAGGTAACATCATCAAGGCTGTAGGGATAAGTGATTTTTTTAATCCGTCTTGTGAATGTCATGACATAGCATTTTTGTTTATTTAAATTCAGATTGTTTAATCGGCCCCAAGTCAGAATATTGTCTAAATCTGTCTGCAACAATTTACAATCTGCTTCAGTCCTAATGTCAGTATATATCTTAAGGTCATCTGCGTACATTAGATATTTCGTAGTTAGTACGTTCGTTATGTCATTGATGTACAGAACAAAAAGAAGCGAACCTAAAACCCATCCCTGCGGTACCCCGGAAAGCTGCTCAAAGTATTAGACCTGAAGTCCCGATATTCAACAAAGGATGATCTTTTTTCTAAATATGATTTTAGAAAATCAATTAAAGTAGAGGAGAAGCAATAAAGAATGCTTTAGAAAAGTCCAAATAGACAACATCTACTTGACCTCCTCTATCTAAACACTCTGACAAGTACTGGGTTTTACATAACAGATTAGTAACCGTAGATCGTTTATTTATAAATCCATGCTGATGTTCAGAAATCATTTTGGAAGTGTGGTAGGCTATTATGTCACAAAACAATGAATTCAAATATCTTGGCAAAATTGTTCATTATAGAAATGTAATTTTCGATGATATTTTTATCGCCCTTTTTAAAGACTGGACTAATTCGTGATTGTTTAAATATGCCGGGATAGGTAGATGTAGATAGAATAAGATTGTAGACAAATAATA